ATTATTGTTTATATATAAAACAATATTTTTTTAGCATAGTGTTTTTTCTTCTTTAAACATTTTTTACATACTCTATATATAAACAAAAACAACAACAATAATATACATTCATTAAAAAAACTACAAAAAAATCTCTTCAAAATTTAGTTTTGTTTGTGTGTCTGTGTATAACTTTCTTTCATAGTTTCGAGTGGTATCGTGTTTGGGAGGGTATCTCATTTTTTCATTACCTTTTAATATTTTTTTAGCATTTTTTTTTATTTATTTAACTTAAATGTGTGTGTCCTTTTTAAAACTTATTTTTCTTCTACTTTTATTATTTTGCAAAGCAAAACGTCGTAATGTGTGATAATTTTCATAATTTTTTTAACAAACAACAACAACAATGTGGTGGTTGTCGCTCCAACAGCAAAAAAAAAATATTCGGTTTCAGTTTTTGGTGGCTTTAATTACAATAAATGATATTTTGCTATTTAATTGATCATAATTATTATTCTTTTTGTATATGTATGTGTGTGTCTTGTAGCGTCCGGTCACATTATTCTCTAGAAAAAATGAAACTGATAACACGCCATGGCTGTCTAATTATAGGTAACATATTTGGTGAGATGGTTGTTTTAGGTTTGGTGCCGCCTTCTGCAGCCAAAATGTTGGGTGCTTGAAAACAAAATCGCCGCACTTGAATAAAAGAAAAAAAAACAGTCATGATTTTTCCTTTTAGCATTAGTTTTTATTTCCTTTTAAATGTTTTCTAGATTGGTGCTAACACAATAATTTTTTTCTTTTCGAAGCTGTAAAGTTAAGTGTTAATAAATAAGAGTAATATTTCATTGTTATTTTTAAATAATATTAAACGTTACATTGGTTTGGTTATTTCAATGGTTGATGGTGTGCTATTTATCATTATCTCATTTTTGGAATTGAATTATCATTTATATCCAAATGTGTAGTATGATCAAAAATTAGGAATTGATTTCGAAGTGAAAAATATGATATAGTCCACTATTTTCTAATGTTCCTGCGAATTGAGCTCAAAGGTTGTGGGAGGCGTTTATAAGAATCCAGAAGGGCAAATATCGATATGAAAGTTAATTTCTGATAAAAACTGTCTTCAATTAAATCAAACGCGGAATATTTTTGTACACCATTTTAGTCATTTTATATCGATGCCTTGTGACTTTTTTTCTTAAGGCATAAAAACTTCAACTTATCTTATAAAGTTAAAAATCCCTAAAATCATTTGGGACTTAAAAAACAATCTACAGTTACTCAAGTTGGGCTAGCAACTTCAACATGCCTTGGCGATTAAAAAAATATATCTTAAATTACTTTTATATGAAAACATAACCAAAACGGGCACCGATATTGAAAATTTTTAGAAGTGAGATTTGAAATGCAATGAGAATCCAATTTAAAATTACAACACATTTGGATGAAAAACGTACACAAATTCCCAAGACTCTGTACCATAAACTCTGTATGGTAGCGTTATGTTGGTCCCATTTTGATCAAATCTAGAGGTCTTCTCACTTACCGATTAAGATATTTGAGAAGTAAAAAACCTATAAGTCTAAATGGAGTATGTCCAGCGTGATTTATCCGCTTTTTCATACGATGATGAAAAGCGAGTGGAACAACTTACGCAGTGATTTTTCAGCACAAAAATGTTTTTTGTGTTCATACACATGTATCTGTGATTTGTCACCAGTGACGATCATATAAAATTTTTGAGAACTGCGATCGTATTTCTGTGCACCATTCGACAAAGGTCTTCGTTAACAAACATTCTTTATGGCTATGTATTTATGCCATATCGAATGTATGCTGGTCAAAGAAATGCCCAACGATTCCTTCTTTCGTGGTTTTCCCCACCAAGAAGACAGAATGCTATAATAAAGCTACTCGGTTGGATAATGCTGAAATTGTCCATTTCACCCCCAAACTTATGGCTAATGAGGCTGTAAACACTTTGATACGACAACAATTTTCCTTGTCGAAATAGTGGATTATATACGTTTCCCATAATTGGCTGTCGTACAATTGGTGCGTACAATAACTTTCAAAAGTAGTGATCGAAAAAACTTAACGCATCGCAATATAACTTCCATACTTACATTATCTGAAAATGGGGATTATCAGTCCACTCGTTCCGGCACCTCCCCCGCTTTCTGTAAAGTGGTCCTTCTAATATTAAAAAATATATAGTAAGGAAAGTTCCAGTGACGCGATTATATGATACCCTTCACCTCTTTGGATATACACATAGATGCTCCTGTTGATAGAACGGACATAACATTATTAGAAGATGATTGGACTGGAATCGAACTAAACCAAATCTTAAATCTATGCAAAATTGCATGTCATTCGGGTAGATTTGGGATCTATTGCATTGCCTTTATTAGCAATGCTGTAAAAAATTTTTACAAAACTTATCACAAATGTTAGGCTGGGGGACTTGGTGCCAAGTCCGGACTGTATGGCGGATGTATTAAAACTTCTCAACCAAGCTCCCGAAGTTTCTGGCGAGTCACTTTAGATATGTGTGGCCTAGCGTTGTCCTGGTGGAACACGAAACCTCTCCTGTTGGCCAATTCGGGCCGTTTATGATCAATTGTAAATGTTTTAAAACAGTTTTATTGTCGATTTTTTGGTTCTGGGCGATGTTACTACTGCTAACATGCCGGCCAACTTCGATCATTTCTCCGATTGAATGGACATTTTCGACCACCTGTGCGAGGTGCATCTTTAATATCAAAAATTCCTGAACGGAATCTATGAAACTAAAAGGTTGTTACAGTATCGGAACCATAAACAACATTCACAATTTTAGCCGCTTGGCTTGCATTTCGCCTTTGAAAAAAAAAAACTGTAAAATGTACCGAATTTTCACTTTGTTCACTTCCATGTTTAATACCCTGTAACTCACAACTGAATGCAACAAAAAATTCAGCAAAATATTTTTACTGCGAAATGTCACCCTTCCAACGAGCATAAATCTATCAGTACCTGCCGAAATAATAATGGATTTATTTTTCCCCAACCTAATATATTTAGGAGCTATATTTAAATCTGAACCGATTTCTCCAAAATTAAACATACTCAATTCAATACGATATTGGACAAATCTCTGAAGGTTGGTGCACCATTTACATAAAATAGAACGAAAATATATGGAAACTATATCAATATCTGATATAATTTCAATGAAACTTAGCACACTTCATCCCATACTCAATTCCACACGTTGTGCCAAATTTTGCATCAAAGGGCCAAACCTCGGGCGTTTGGTGCACGGTACATCGATTCAGAAAGCGATTTTATCCATATTCTCAATAGGAATAATGGGCCTATCTCGTTTCCCTTTGCATAATACCCAGTACCGCAGTGTAAAGGAGTAGAACAGTCATTTTGGTGGGAAAATACTGTAACTACACATTATTCGTATTGCTAATGTGGGTATGACAGAACTATGCCTCATCGAAATATTGGTTCTAGTTTCTTGAGACCATATCTATTTACAAATGTTCGTCCGTCTGGCCAAATTCGGAGATGGGGAATATCGGTCTACCTTTTTGTTACCTTCCCATAAAATTTACATAAAATAATTTTTTAATATCCGTTTATTAGATTGGAACCAAACATTGTCATACCATATATTTTAACCAATCCTGTATAATATTTGAAGATGGGGCTTATAGGTCTACTTCTTATAGTACCTCTCCCACAAAGGGCCAAATTAGAAAATTGTTAAAACTCGTATGAAGCGTATCCAATCCTGAAAGCCATTGACTCATAAGGGAACATCCTTATATCTTTGTTTGGGGTTATTGCAGGTTATTTTAAAGCTAACATGTCTTCTGTCAAATCGAATGAGGAATATTTTTGAAAAACATATCCCCCTTCTATCTCGAGAGCCTGTGCGTCGTTTTCATCATTATTTTCTTGAACCATAATCTAAATACCATAAGACATATATTCCATACACATGTCGCTTATATAATTTTAGTGAAATATATTTCCATGTTTTTATCTCCTTTGTAACAAAAATTCAATGAGCTAAGTAGGGAATTGTAATCCAATGTAACGTTTAATATTATTTCAGTTTTATAAATCTGGTTAAATTTTAAATTCCTCATAAAACACAAAAATTAGTTTGAACCCATTTTCCACGAGGGAATATAATTTTAGGATGCTTTTCATTTTAAGACGGTTTGGTTGAAAAAAAAAATTGAATAAAAACAATGGTGATCCTCATTCATGCGCAGCTATTTATATAAATAGAATATAATGTGCGTGTGCCTTTTATATGTTCGTTAAAAAAGTTAGCAAAACTTTAGTCAACTATTTACTAAACTATGTACTACTCCTACCACTACTACTACTATTCCACAAGTATACAACAACAAAATCATCATCGTATCTGGTCCAGAATGTGTCAGTTGTAATTCTACTCTTATGGTGGTGCTGGTGGCATAAAATTAAAACAAAAAATGTGCAAAGCAAATTGCAATTCAGTCTTCTATTATCATGGTGGGTCGGTCACTGGTAAATATTTAATTTAAATGTTTTCTAAAAAAATTTGCTACGGTGAGTGCTTTTTTAAATATATAATTTTTATTTTAATTATTTCTATGTATCTATACAATCACCTAACTATTCTGTCTATCAAAAAAAAAAAACACTCTACATGCTCTATCTATAACACATAACATTTTCCCTTTACCAAAAATTAACTTGTTTTTGAAGATGAACTTAAAAAAAGAAATCACTAAAGAAAAAGAGGAGAAAAATAATTACAAATTAATAAAGAAGAAAAATATGTCACTTGTTACTTACCGCATTCTTCTATTTTAGATTTTCCCTTTATATGAATTAACAAAAAACAAAACTACAAAAATTTAAAAAAATATTTGTATCCAATATTTAAAAATGTTTTTATTAATTATTAATTATATTAATTTTTTGAGACATTCATTAATGTTATCTTTTAATTTCCTTAGGTGCCTCAGTGCTGGGTCCTCCCTTTGGTCATTTCGGTCCATTTCCTCCGCCACCGGGTCCAATTTTGGCTGCTCCTCATCGTGCTCATCATCCTCATGGACCAACCCATCCAGCTGGTGCACCGCCTCCACCACCCCCTCATGCTGCCGCATTCTATCCCCATCCAGTTGTCTATTGGCCATATCCAAGTCCTCCAGTGTCGCCAACAACATATTACAATCAGCCGACACATTCGCCCACTCATGTTCCTGGCAATCATGGGCCACCAATGGTAGGTAAATGTTGATATTTTAGTAAAAAAAACTTTTAGAAAAACATTTTCAAAATTACAAGGCTTTTAAAAAAATTATTTTAAATATTAAACAAGTGAAAAAGCGTTAAGTTAAGTTAAAATAAAGGGAACATACAAAAAAGTGGATCTATACCGACCGACATGTCTAAAAACGGATTATGTAAACAAACCATAATACAAATTTCAGAAATTTTTAATTGATAATTCAAATTCGAAAATGGGGAATATCGGTCCACTCCTTCTGAAACCTCCACACAGGGGCTAGGTCTAAATGCGGCTATAGTTCATTATCGAACCTTACGTTCTAATTTTTATCTCGCTATCCTCCGCAGGTGAAATGATTACAATAGAGAAATACTGAAAATTGGAAGGTACCGTTATATGGGGGCTACCAGAAAAAGTGGACCTATATTTATAATTTTTTGTGGAGATATTTAAAACCCAATAAAAACCCAATGTAGCTAATTTCAGCGAATACGGCTGAAAAACGCGCTCAAGAACCTCAAAATACCGGGTACCCTTATATGGGAGCTATGCCTAAACGTGGACCGATATATCCCATCTTCGAACTTGACCTGCCTGCAGACAAAAGACAACCCTATTCAAAATTTCAGCACCCTATCTCAATTCCTTCAGAAGATAGCGTGATTAGAACAGACGGACAGACGGACGGAAATGGCTAGATCGTTTTAGAATTTTACCCTGATCAAGAATATATATACTTTATAGGGTCGGAAATGAATATTTCGATTAGTTACAAACGGAATGACAAAATTAATATACCCTCCATACTAAATACTGTAAAAAAACATGCCTTAATTTTGCTTTTAAAAATCCCTGCAGTCCATGTATTTTTATGAACAAAGTACTGTTCGCATTTACAATCAGATTTAGATGAAATTTGGCACATGTCACTTATTTGGCCCAAAGCTTCCATACATAGTTTCATCCGATGTTTTGTAAATGGTCCACCAATTTCCCAATATTGGTCCGATTGAAACAAAATTTTGCACAGAGTACTGAGTTAGGTCTAGATTGATATATGCCAAGTTTCGTTGGAATCAGTTCAGACTTAGATTTAGCTCCCATATCATCCGATTTTATCAAAATGATATACCAAGTAACTAAAGTTTGTCCGCTTAGGACGAATTAGTGTACAACGTACCAAATCGAACCTATAATAACGTGTATTGGATTTGGTGTCGAGGTAAATTTTGGATAGCGCACTGGTGGATGCCACGGCTACTCAAATAAGGGTATCGTCGGCCCCGTCCGACTTTTGAACTTTCCTTACTGGTTTTTAATAAATCTACGCCTTAATTTTTTTAATAAATCCATGCTTTGATTTTTTTATACCCTTCGCCACACTGTGGTACATGGTATTATGTCTTTGTCCATATGTTTGAAACAGGCAAAAGAAACGAGATAGACACATGGTTCCTTTTGAGAATATGCATAGAATCACTTTTTGAGTCGATTTATGCATGTCCGTCCGCCCGTCTGTAGATTTTAAATTGTAAACAAAGTACAGGTCGCATTTATGATTCGATTTGGATGAAATTTGGCACAAGTCACTTATTTGGCCCAAGGACGAACCCTATTGAAATTGGTGAAAATCGGTTCAGATTTAGATATAGCTCCCATATATATTTTCGTCCGATATAGGCACCAAAGTCCGTATATATCATTCGATATGTACGAAATTTGGCACAGCGTACTTAATGAGGTCTAGAGTAATGTGTGTTAAGATTCGTGAAAATCGGTACATATTTAGATATAGCTCCCATATATAATTTCGCCCGATTTTATGTAAATAGTACACCAAAGTCCCTATATATCCTTCGATTTGCACGAAATTTGGCATAGTGTTCTAAATTAAGTCTATAGTGATGTGTGTTAAATTTCGTGAAAATCGGTTAAGATTTAGATATAGCTCCCATATCTATTTTCGTCCGATTTTAGGTTAGTAGTGCACCAATTTGCTCGAAATTCGGTACAGCGTACTGAATTAAGTCTAGAACGATGTGTGTTAAGTTTCGTGAAAATCGGTTCAGATTTAGATATAGCTCCCATATATTTTCGTCCGATTTTAAGTAGGACCCAAGGACCCAAAATATGCCCGTTAGGAACAAAACGTGCAAACGTGTGTCACGTTTCATTGGAATCTGTCCAGATTTAGATATAGCTCCCATATAGTTTCGTCCGATTTTAAGTAGGACCCAAGGACCCAAAATATGCCCTTTAGGAACAAAAAGTGCATAAATTAGTCTAACCTAACGTGTGACAAGTTTCGTTGAAATCCGTTTACGTTTGGATATAGCTTCTATATCTATTTTCATCCGATTTTAAGTAAATGTTGCACCAAACTCTTCATGTTTTTTTTTCAGAATAGAATGACGTAATTGCGTGTAGAAGTACAGATGTAGCCCATATAAATTTCCGACCGACTTCGTGTTAAACGGGCTCCAAATATTCAACGGGTGCCCGATTGATATTTGCTTTAAATCGATTTACAATTTTACAATTTTCTTCCATTTTAACAAACGAATGGCATGATTATGGATTGGTCTAAGTCGATTGACATTTAGATAAAGGTCTCATATTTTAAATCATTCAATTTCATGTAAATGGCCCTTCTGTTAGGATGCATTTGTTTAATATACCCATAGTGGTGAAGGGTATCATATAGACGGCCCCGTCCGACTTTAATACTTTCCTTACAGGTTTTAAATCTAGGCGTTGGTAGTTCTTAAAACAATTAACAATATTTTTTGTTTTTATTTCCAGTATTCTCTCGACTATATAACCACTGTGCCACCAACAAATTACGCTAATCCCCAACCATCACCACTCAGTCCACCAAATGTTGCAATACCACCCAATGCTGCAAATGGGCTTATATTGTCACCAAGCAAAGGCGGTGGTGCTGGTGGTGCTCCAATGACTTTAGTGCCACCAAAACAATATCCTGCATCGCCAGCATTGCTCCAAGGACCACCCACTCCCAATAGCTATCATCATCATAACAACAACAATAAGTTGGTGGCATTAACACCACCATCAGGGCCAAAAACATCACCATCTTTACGTCCAGCTCAAAATAATGTCTATCATCAGCAGCAGCATCATCATCAACATCATTATGGATCACCACCACCAGGCGCCGTAGCTGGACCAGTACCACAAACAACGTTGTCACAAACGTCACCAACAACTGCAGTTGCTCCCATTGTTACTGCATTGACCAATGGCCAGGTAATTGTAAATGCTCCAACCACCACACCCACAATGCCTGGCCACAATGCAGTAACGCCGCCAGTTGTTCACCAGCCACAGCAGCAGCAGCCATTACTTGCCATCGATACCAATGCACCGGCAGCCGGAGAACGTAGTGTCAATCTTAAAGCCAGTGTAAAAATAACCAAAATTACAACCAAAAATACAAAAACAACTTCCAACAGTAATGGTGTGGTGGTGGCAACACCACCATCACTCACCGTCACCACCAATCGGTGTGTGGAGTTGTACACAGCCTAAAAGGCCCGGAGACCTGTAGAAATACTAAGAAAATAACAAAAACAAGCGAACAAACTAAAGCAATCACCAAGTGGACATTTTTTATAAAAAATAAAACAAACATAACAATTATTTATTTAGTAAACGTATAGCTATAAATTACTTCCTGATCTTGCCAAAAGAAGGGATTCCGAAAAAAACTCCTTTAGAAAAGTGGTCTGGATGAAAGTCAGCTTTGGACCATTTTTGACATTCAACGAATCTCGAATGTAGGCTACAAAATATGATACACTTTTTTGGTGGACAAACTCTCAAGAATCCGTGTACTTCCTTAGGTGCGATAATACCTAACCTACAAATGTACTTCCATAGGACCTAACCTAGAAACAAAAGTTTGCCACTCAAAACAAAAGTGTTTTTTTTTTAAGATTTTAAGAATAAAGGAAAGAAATACATAAATGTTGATATTATTTTTATAAAAAACATAAACAATAATAATAAAAAATAAATAGCAAACAATTTTATAAAAAAATATTAAATTAAGAAAAAATATCCCAAAATCCCCGAAAGAAACCCCTGCTGCTCAAGAACAACCATTGGAAACCAGTGCAATTTAAAACAAAAATCTTGTCAAACAGATAAAGATGACATATGTCAAAGTGCTCAGAATATTTTTTTAAAAAATATTCCGCACATCTTCCTCACACACACACTCTCTTACACAACACACCTACACATATCTAGTGAATTACAACCAACAAACTATAACCAATAATGTTGAACAATCAATCAACCAACCAACCAACACAAACAAACAAATACCCTAGTCAATAGTAAAATTATTTATAAAATTTATATATATATACAATTTTTTTTATAATAATACATAATAATGTGTATATATCTGTGAGTGTTTTGTTTTTTTATTGTGTGTCTTCACATGTATACATATTTACTATATATATTTGTTTGTCATAAATAATTATTTAAAATTTGTTTTAAAAAAACACAAAAAATAAAATAAATACATCAATGTTAAATTTAATAAAATATTAAATAAAAAAAGAAACTTGTCATTTGTTAAAATATAAATCATTTTAAATATTTAAAATTGTGAAAAAATAAAACAATTATATTTTTTGAACTTCTTGTCACGATACACCACAAACATCAGATTGTCATTTATTTAAGTAAATGAATTTTATAATTTAATTATAAATAATTTTTTATATATCAAAATTGTTTTTATTGTCAAGTCTATTGTTTTTTTCTAATAAATATATATTTTTAAAATAAATAAACAAATAAAATATATACACAAATATACTCGAAATTGTGTTGATTATATGATACCCTTCACCACTGTGGGTATATTGAACAAATGTATCCTAACAGACGTCGCATTTCTGAAGGACCATTAACATGGAATTGGATGAAATAAAATATGTGATCTTTATCCAAATCAATCAGGACTTAATTCAGTACTCCGAGCAAAATTTTGTCTCAATCGTACAATTATTGGGAGTTTGATGCACCAATAAGGTAAAATAGGCGAAACTATATATGGGAGCTATATCTAAAACTGAACCGATTTCAAAAAAAGGCATATATGGGCAATATTGCCAATTTTTTAACATAGCTGAAGCTGAGGTTCACCCCTTTATAACTCGGGAACTACTTAAGTATATGAAAAAAATGAATAGTTTTGGGTTAATTGATCTGTCGTTGCAAACTGTTCATGATATTGACCTCCAAACTTTATTTTGGTGGAAGCTGTGTCTACTTTAATGTGTAAAAAAAGGTTGAGGCGAACCAGTTTTTTTAGGTTCTCTATCGATTTGTGACTAAGCCACTCATTGCACGGTCTTCGTGTCAAAATAAAACTAGAAGCCAACAAAATGGGGACTACGCCCCTTATGTATCATTTTTCAAAATTTTAACGGCATCTACCTTTAAATGATGCTGACATTTTGAAGCTCGATTTTGAGTGTTTTTTTATTTTTACTTATAGCTTTAATACGCAAACAGGAATTTATAAAAATCGATTATAAGATTATTGTAGTCGCGAATCTGCGTAATTTGATATGTATTTTGTGTATGTAGTAGGCACAGCTTCAGAGTAATACTCATCCGAAGGTGCGAATTTTGTGCTATCAAATTTCTAAAAAACCAATTTTTCGGGCCAAATTTTTAGATCTGTCAACTGAATGATATGAAAATTCGTGAAAATCCATCCAAAACATCCAAAAACACGAAATTTGGCAAAAAATGTTTTTGAAAATATCGCGGATTTATTTGCGTTTTCTGTGTATCATTTACGCTTCAATAAATGACCTCATACGGATTTTGATCTTTTTCGAAAAGAGAACTTTAAAAACTTCACCCGAAAGAGAGATGTACGCAAATTATCTCAAAAATAGTGTGAGCTGGCACATCCATGGTTCTTAATGGACCACATTGAAATCGGTATAGATTAGGGTGCACACCGAAATCGGATGCGCGTTAATGGCATATGGAGTTTTCGGAAATTATTCGCGTTTTACGATTTTTTGGGTACTTCAATGTAACGTGCGGCACATCTTAGCCGTCAAATGAAATTTCGGAAAATATATATGGATTGGAAGATAAACTTCAGTACTTCCTGGAAACCGCATGCGCATCGATTTACACGCAATTTAAAATGTATATTTCATAATATTATTTTATTTTAAGATTTATTCCTATTTATAGAATTCTAAGATTATCGGAAAGGTCTTGATATAATCCGCAAGCCGTATACTTATACACAAAAAGTGATTATTATTATATATGTCAATTTTTCGGCGAAATTCGGGTAAAATAGCAGAATAACCCCAACATTTTTTTCTGAAATTTCTTGTATACAATTAAAAAAAATAAATATGATGACATTATTTTTTCGAACCAAAAACAAATATTTTTCCTCAATATCTTGTTTTGTTGTCGCTGTGATTTACAAACCGCTACACGGACTTGTGTGATTTTGATATCATTTGATTCATCATGGTGTTTAGATTATGTACATAGATATTTTTAAATTAATTTTTAGGTGTGTGTATGTCATTAATATAATGAAAATATTGATGTAATCTCCTATATTTTTATTATTTTGCTCATATTTCGCGAAGATGTGCAACTTTTTCGCGATTATTATAATATATTCATATTCTTATTCTACGGAGGAAGATATATATCAGCGTTTTTGGTCAATATAATAAACGGCGTAATTTTAAGATTTTTTTCTTATGCCCAAAATTAAAACGTCGATAACTTTTGCGCGCATCAACCAAAAATTTGATCGCGAACGGTTTCGGAGTCAGAACATTTTTCTCTAATGTGTACCAAAAATCATTGATGTGCCACAAAAACAAAAAAAAAACTGATTTTTTGAATATTAAAAAATTGGCAATATTGCCCATATCTATTTAGATCTAATTCAGTACTCTCTACAAAATTTTGTCTTAATGTCGCTGTATTGGGAGTTTGGTGCACCTGTAAGTTAAAATCGGACGAAAATATATATGGGAGCTATATCTAAATCTGAACCGATATTCTCCATTTCCAATAGGGTTCATCCTTGGGCTAATTAAGTGACCTGCGCCAAATCGGATCATAAATGCGAGCTGTACTTTGCTCACAAAAATACATGGACGGACAGACGGACATGCATAAATCGACTCAGAAAGTAATTCTATGCATATTCTCATAAGGAACCATGGGTCTATCTCGATTCCTTTTGCCTGTTACAAACATATGAACGACATCAGAAAAAGGAACTATATTTTTAAAGAGCTGGAACTAGTTACTCGGAATAGTTTCAATGAACTAGTTCGTTCCGGAACTACCCAATTCTACCGCTATTCGAATTAGTTTGTCAGATCCCCTTCCCCGTGTAACATTTGTGATGTTCGGCTTATAATTGTGGCATATATAGCGACTAAAAAAGTGACAAAACTAAAGCTATCGGTCCTTGCCATACCCTAAATATTATCCGATCGTAATTGTAATACTAAACAATATCAGAACCCATAGACAACATTTCTTCCATATTTCGAGTAGTCGCATCAAAAATCGAAGAACAACGCCACTATGAGAAATTACGCGACTAGAAAATATCTCTTACTCCAAGTTGTATTCTTCAATAGCAGGCAAAAAAGGCAGCTATTATATGACCATAACGCTCCGAATTGACGTCGATAGTCGTTTTCGAAGTAGTAAGGTCCAAACACACCTTCGGATTTTTGGATATTCAATTACTAAAGAATTCTCAGAACCCCAAATTCGACAAACATTGTTTATTAACATAACCATCGAGTGAGAAATTTGCTTTATCACTGAAGAAAATTTTGTTGAGTCTGATTTTTTGTAGTTTTGCAGATTCCTAACAATTGTACCATAGTTTCCTTTAAGGGGACCCCCATTCTCGGGTTCAATTTTTTTATATAATTCGAATCTACACTAATTCAAGAATGTCCCTACAAAATTTCAAGAGAAAATCTCAAGAACTCTTGAAGATATAGCCGATTTATTGTGTCAGCATCAAGTGACGGCTTTCCTTTCAGTTTAGAAATAAATTCAATTTAACCCGTATTTCAATAAATGTATCAATCACAATAGTGCACCAAGTTAATACACAAACCATGTAGCGGCAATAAAGGGTGACTCATAATTATCCTTGTGAAATATATGCATATGGTTTGTGTATTGGATTATTGCCAAATATCTTTGGTACTAAGGAATTCAGTGTGAGTAGAAATAATATAAGTCTGAGTTAGGGACGGGGATATATTCTTATATGATATGGAGAGGGAATGGGAATAATGCAAAGGAGGAATCGGTATTTTTTACCCATATCGACGCCTCCGAAGAATAGTATGCTAAGTCAGAAAAGTGAGTTTTTCAGCAGAAGCTTTCAAAGTATGGAAGTTTCTTAAATCTTACGTGCCATGCTAAGTACATTTTTGCTTATAACTTTGGTTTGGATTGGTTTGGATCGAAGTACC